CTATCACATAAAATCCCAATAAAATACATCTACGTTGTGGAAAATTTCAAGGGATGTGAATACTTTTTCAAGGCACTGTACCAGCATGTCTTTAGAGTATGGGAGGAAACCCAAGAAGGCGAAGGTAGAACATGCAAACTCCATGCAGGTAGTGTCATGGTTGTGCTGCCAAGCGGAAATGCTAGTCACTTAGTCACTGTGCTGCCCTAGGTCATCAGTTTGGCATTATGGAGAAGGTCTGGTGCTAGAATTATTGCTCTCACTCCTGCATGGGGAGATGCAACATGTGTATCATAACTAACGTTTTAATGCGTAGGCGCTCCCGACGCGTGTTTACGTTTGTATGTGTGTATATATGGGGGTGAGGTGGGCTTCAAAAATTTTTAGGGGGGATTTTATGTGCTTGGGTGCAACTTTAATTTTTAGGCCTCATGCACATTCAGCATTTTTACAGCTGCTGTTTTTGGGTTCTGGCATTTTTTTCTACAGACAGTAAACTCCCCAGCATGTTATCCTATGTGTCCATACACACATACCCTAAATTGCCAGAAGTATTGGGCCGCCCTCCAAATCATTGGATTCAGGTGTTCCAATCCCCTCCATGGCCACAGGTGTATACAATCAGCCCCTAGGCATGCAGACTGCTTCTACAAACATTGGTGAAAGAATGGGTCGCTCTCAGGAGCTCAGTGACTCCAAGCGTGGTCCCGTGATAGGTTGCCACCTGTGCAATAAGTCCATCCGTGACATTTCCTGGCTACTAAATATTCCACGCTCAACTGTTAGTGGGATTATAACAAAGTGGAAGCAACTGGGAACAACAGCAACTCAGCCACCAAGTGGTAGGCCACGTCACATGACAGATCGGGGTCAGCGCATGCTGAAGCGCTCAGTGTGCAGAAGTCGCCAACTGTCTGCAGAGTCAATAGCTAAAGACCTCCAAACTTCATGTGGCCTTCAGATTAGCACAACAACAGTGTGTAGAGAGCTTCATGGAATGGGTTTCCATGGCTGAGCAGCTGCATCCAAGCCTTACATCACCAAGTGCAATGAAAAGCGTCAGATGCCGTGGTGTAAAGCACGCTGCCACTGGACTCTAGAGCAGTGGAGACTAGTTCTCTAGAGCACCCAATCATGCTTCTCTGTCTAGCAATCCGATGGACATGTCTGGGTAAGTTGGTTGCCAGGAGAACGGTACTTGCCTGACTGCATTGTGCCAAGTGTAAAGTTTGGTGGAGGGGGGATGTGTTATGATGTGGGGTTGTTTTTCAGGGGTTGGGCTTGGCCCCCTAGTTCCAGTGAAGGGAACTCTAACCTTGTGGACGGCCTTCCCAGAAGAGTTGAAGCTGTTATAGCTGCAAAGGGCGGGGCCAACTCAATAGTGAACCCTACGGACTAAGACTGGCATGCCATCAAAGTCCATGTGTGTGTAAAGGCAGGCTGACCAATACTTTTGGCAATATCGTGTAGGCTTTTATCAGTGTTTTCTGGCTGGAAACAAAACCCTAGAACTAGTGGGCTTCAAGAGGAGTTTTTTGGGTTTTAAAACCGTTAACACTGGTAAACGCGGTAAAAACATGGCAAACCGGCGTTTTTGAGTCAAAATTCTTTTGTGTAAAAAAAACACTAACGGGGAAAAAAAGCTGCTAAACGCAGAAAAACTTGCATTTTTAACATGACTTTATACAGCTAATGCTACTGGCATTTTGTGTGCACGAGGCCTTACTTTTTCATGCAAGTACATGGTACAGCCAGGGGTGTATTTACCACAAGGCAAACAAGGCATTTGCCTAGGGCGGCATTTTTCAGGGAGGGCAGCACTGCCCGACGGAAGAAGGGACGGAAGAAGGGACGGAAGAAGGGACGGAAGAAGGGACGGAAGAAGAAGGGACGGAAGAAGGGACGGAAGAAGGGACGGAAGAAGGGACGGAAGAAGGGACGGAAGAAGGGACGGAAGAAGGGACGGAAGAAGGGACTCGCGCGGCATGGGGACCTGGTGGGTTTCGAGAGATGCTGGGGGTTTCATGACGGTGTATGCACAGCCCGACTCTCGTTCCCGGGGATGTCTGGAGCTGTGAAGGTGAGTGTCTCTCTCTCGCCATGGAGGATGGTGGCTGGTGTATTGGGGGGGCAGTGGTAGTTGAAGGCTCGGATGGAGGGCAGGGGTGTTCTTGATCAATGTCAGGCTATTACTGCTGGGGGGGAGAGGAGTGAGCGACAATTGTTGTGTTGCCTACGGCAGCACAAATCCTAAACACACCACTGGTACAGCAGGCACATATCAGGAATATGAAATGCTGGGTTTACATATTCTTTAAGGATGAACAGCAAAGATTTTAAAGTGTTAGCAAATATGTCTGCAGAGTCTGTCCGCTGGATGTTTCTGTTCCCATGAAAACCGTAAAACAACAGACTTTCTGAGTGTTTGTTCTGGAACACGTTCTGTACCACATCAGATCTGGAAAATCAAGTTTGGCCGGCAACCAGCAATTCCCACTCTGCTCTGTAATGACACCAATAATAATAACAGTCAGGGACAGTCAGTGGTGTCAGAGAACAGCTTCAGGCAAATGACGGCACATTCACAGGGAAGGTTTAGAACCCGCCATACTTTTCATGTACCGTCCTTTGGGGATGAAGCCGAGCTCAACTTAAAGTGTAATTCCACTTTTCACTTTTGAAGCCAAATTGGGAAAACCCCTACTTTATATTTGTTACATCTTCATTACCATTGCAAAACATAAAAAAAAATAAATAAAAAAAAAAGTAAAATCGCTGGTTACCCTTTTACTTGACTAAAAGCAGAACCAAGCTCTCTTAACTCCTCGCCCCCCAGAGGACCCCCCCCCCCTTCCTGTGTTGTGCTGTGTTATTTTAACTGACATTTGTGCGGTCATGCAACGTTGCACCCAAATAATATTTGTCTTTTTTTCCACACAAATGGAGTTTTCTTTCAGTGGTATTTGATCACCTGTGCGTTTTTTATTTTCTGCGCTATGAACAAAAAAGACCTACAATTTTGAAAAAAACTTTTTGCTATAAAACATGTCCAGTAAATTTTTTTTTTTTAAAAAATCTGATTTCGTCATAAATTTAGGCCAAAATGTATTCTGCTTCTGTTATGTCTTTGCTAAAAAAAATACCAATACGTGTAAATTGGTTTACGTGAAAGTTATAGCGGCTACAAATGGCGGTATAGATACTCGATTTAAAAAAAAAAAAATGTAATATTAGTAATGGCGCTGATCAGCAACTTATAGCGGGACCACGAGACTGCGGCAGGCATTCTGACACTGGAGGGGGGGAACTGACTAACTGTCACTGGCATCCCCAGTGACACTAATACTGTGATCAGTGCTCATAAAAAGCACTGACACTGTACTAATGGCACTGGGCAGGAAGGGGTTAACATCTGTGGTGATCAAAGGGTTAACTATGTGCTGTGTGTGTGTTTTACTATGTGCTGTGTTTTACTAGGGAGGCATACTGTTTTGTATTGCTTTGACAGGGAAGAGTTCTGTGCTTACATAAAGACCTCTCCCTTGTCAGTGATACTCGGCGATCGGCGGGTGCCGGTGGGGAATCTCCGGCCAAGACCCGGTGATCGACAGCTGTAGCCGCCAATCGCGGCACAGGTAGGGCGCGCCCCCTACCCGGAAATGCAAAATCACACACACATACATATATATATATATATATATATATATATATATATTTTTACATATATACACATACATACACACACACACACACATATATATTTATTTATACATATATATATATATATATATATATATATATATATATACACACACACACACATACATGTGGTTTTTGCGCAGCCCTGCCACCCTGTAGCAGTATTTCTGCTATAGGGCGGTCGGGAAGCACTCAACCAATATGAACCATTTTTAACCTCTTGCTGGCCGCTCAGTTTTTTTTTTTTTTAACTACAAGAAGGCACCAGCTGCAGGCTCGGGAACATATACGTACGTCGCCACTTGCTTCCTGGGTTTACAGCCGCGCTTGAGCGCGACCCCTGCTGATCCGTGCTGTGATTGGACACAGCTCGAGTTTGTCAGCAGATTTCAACCAATGAAGGGCAGGGAAAGCAAAATATAAGCAGATTAAACTTCAAGTGGTTCTTAGGCTCAAGGCTTTTTACATATGTATTCTATGCATGAAGATAAAAAAAACCAATGCAGCGGCACCCCCAATCTGTACCTGAGCCCCCTCTGATCCAGCGACATTCTTGACAGCCTCTGATGTCCGGGGTCTCTTCCTCCTCATTGGATTAGACAGCAGCGGGAGCCCTTTTTCTGTCAATCACAGCCAGTGAGGCAATGAGGAGAGAGCTGGGGGGGCTGTTGTTGGGGGTTCCGAGCTGCAGCTCTAAGTGTGTAAAGAGCAGCAGCTCGGGAATGAGCATGCTTTGCCTGGGGGTACCGATCAAAGGGGAGGAGCCAAGACCTGAAAAGAAGAGGATCAGGACTGCTCTGTGCTTTTTGCTATGTGCACAGAGCAGGTATGAAGTTTGTTATTTTTGTTTTTTAAACAAAGCTTTAGTGTCACTTTTAGCTTTGAGAACTTTTTCCCTGTTTTTTTTTTCTTTTTTGCTGCTGTTTACAGTGGGGGAGGTGGTATAGATATAATCAGTGGATTTTGCTTCTTACTGCGAGATCTGTTTTAAACATTTTTTTTTTTGAAACATGCTGGATCTCCACTCTGAATCCGGAGCAGTCATAGTTGGCACAAAGAGTAAAGCTAAAGAAGATGATTATAAATCTTGCAGAATGTTGAGATGTTGCCCAGCGGTGGCGGTCTCTGTGTAGCCTCTGTCTTTGCTGAGTCACACTCTGTATGATCACAGCCGCAGTCTGTCTGCCATTCTGGGTTACGGCTCATCACATGCCGCCGTCTTCTCTATACACATATGATACATGATCTGTACAAGAGAAATGAGGAGACTTGTCTGCTTCTCTGTGCAGAACATTCAGCTTCAGGGGCCGACTGACCATTTGGAAACTTGGACACTGCCCGAGGGCCCGGGGTCAGTAGGGGGCCCCATGAGATGCCCCTGTTACCTTTTTCATAGGCTTTTTTGAGTTTGGGCAAGGACACAGGGGCCCCATGATCCCCTATTGCCCGGGGGCCCCATGAGTTGTCAGTCTGCCCCTGACCAGCTTAGTCAAAGGTGAGAGATTTCAGAACGCACAGGTTGCTATATGACAGGCTGGCGGTCCTACAACTGAGAAAGATGAGAGGTCGGCCCTTTGTTACAGCAATTATTGCTCTTCTGAAGCCCTCTCCCCACTACAGCTTTTTTTTTTGAAGCTCTAATGAAGCTTGGCAAATGCCCTATGTGTGTTGATTTTCTATTTGTTGTAAAGGGGCCTAGTGGTACCCCCAGCTCAGTAGTATGCCCGCTCAGCAGACTGCCAGCTCTTTATTACCCCCGCTCAGCAGATCCCCAACTCATTAGTCCCCTTGTTCAGCAGATCTCCAACTCATTAGTAACCCCCAGCTCTGCTAATCCCTTCATCAGTAGTAACCCCCAGCTCTGCTGCTCTCCGACTCAGTAGTAACCCCCAAATCTGTTGTTCCCTCACTCAGTAGTAACCCTCATCTCTGCTGATCCTATCGCTCTAGTAGTAGCCCCCATTCTGCTGATCCCCCAGCCCCCAGTAGTATCCCCCCCCCAGCTCTGCTGCTCCCCCACCCAGTAGTAGCCCCCAGCTCTGCTGTTCCCCTCCTTCAGTAGTAACCCCCAGCTCTGCTAATCCCTCCTTCAGTAATAACCCCCAGCTCTGCTGATCCCCCCCACTCAGTAGTAACACAGCTCTGCTGCTCCCCCAGCTCAGTTGTAAGCCCCCAAATCTGCTGGTCCCCCCTTCAGTAGTAACCCCCACCTCTGTTGATCCTCTGCTCAGTAGTAACCCCCAGCTCTGCTGATCTTCCCACTCAGTAGTAACCCCCAGCTCTGCTGATCCCCCGCTCAGTAGTAACCCCCAAATCTGCTGATCCCCCACTCAGTAGTAACCCCCACCTCTGCTGATCCTTCTGCTCAGTAGTAACCCCCAGCTCTGCTGATCCTTCGCTCAGTAGTAACCCCCAGCTCTGCTGATCCCCCACCCAGTAGTAGCCCCCAGCTCTGCTGATCCCCCACCCAGTAGTAGCCCCCAGCTCTGCTGATCCCCCACCCAGTAGTAGCCCCCAGCTCTGCTGATCCCCACCCAGTAGTAGCCCCCAGCTCTGCTGATCCCCCACCCAGTAGTAGCCCCAGCTCTGCTGATCCCCTACCCAGTAAGTAACCCCCAGCTCTGCTGATCCCCCAACCCAGTAGTAACCGCCCAGCTCTGCTAATCCCCAACCCAGTAGTATCCCCCAGCTCTGCTGATCTCCCACTCAGTAATAACCCACAGCTCTGCTGATCCCCTTCCTTCAGTTGTAACCCCCATCTGCTGCTAATCCCCCCTTCAGTAGTAACCCCCAGCTCTGCTGATCCTCTGCTCAGTAGTAACACGCAGCTCTGCTGATCCCCCGCTCAATTGTACCCCCAGCATCTGCGGTCCCCCCCTCAGTAGTAACCCCCACCTCTGCTGATCCTCTGCTCAGTAGTAATCCCCCAGCTCTGCTGATCCCCCACCCAATAGTACCCCTCAGCTCTGCGATCCCCCCACCCAGTAGTAAGCCCCCAGCTCTGCTGATCCCCCACTCAGTAGTAATCCCCAGCTCTGCTGATCCCCACTCAGTAGTAATCCCCAGCTCTGCTGATCCTCTGTTTCGCTGATCCTTCTCTCTCTGGTCCCCGCTCACCTCCAGCTATATTGCTCATATTCTGTGCATTCTGAAATCTGCTAGTTTTTCCACTCTAGTCTCCTAGCTCTGCTGATCCTCTCTTGTTTAGTCCTCTCTCTCTGGTTCCCACTAACCTTCCACTATACCGTCCCATGGTGCACACCACATGTGGTGTCTGCTAGCTGCTCCTCTCCAGTCCTGGACCCCGCACCTTCCTGCTGCTCCACAGTGCACACCAGATGTGAAGACTTCACCAGACACTTCCACAATATATACACATGAACTGGAAGTGACTGCTGACGACATCTTTTTGGTTCGCTTGTTGGTTTCCTAGTGCATCCTGGGATATCTCATACCTCCAAAACAAAGTGAAGCTAACTCCGATTAAAATCCTTTCAAAAGCTACATGTGCTGTTAGCAAGCATTGCGATAGATTTCTATCGCAAGAACCAAGAAAGCAACAGGGGGTATCATTTTTGAAGCAAAGTGAAGCAAACGCAACAGTGTGAACAGGACTGCAAGTTTACCATTTTATTTAGTGGTAGGGGCTTTGACTGGCATTGAAAGTGCTTTAAAAAAGCATGTCCAATGCACATTTTGAAGCACGTGTAAAGGAGGCCTTGGGGGAATTTGACAATTTTTTTCTCCTTCATGTTATTAAATGTGTCCGTGCACTCATAGGCATTTAACCCCTCGCCTACCGGGCACTTATACCCCCTTCCTGCCCAGGCCAATTTTCAGCTTTCAGAGCTGTCGCACTTTGAATGACAATTGCGTAGTCATGCAACATTGTACCTATATGAAATTTTTTTAAAAATTTTCACACAAATAGAGCTTTCTTTTGGTGGTATTATACTCGCCGCTGGTGTGTTTATTTTTTGCGCTATAAAACAAAAAAATAGCAAAAATTAAAAAAAAAAAATGTTTTTCTTTGTTTCTATTATAAAATTTTGCAAACAGGTAATTTTTTCTCCTTCACTGATGTGTGTTGATGAGGCTGCATGGATGGGCACTGATAGCATGATGGGCACTGTTAGGCAGCACTGAGAGGTGGCACGGATCATCACTGATGAGCTGGCAATGATGAAGGCGGCACGGATTATGCTGCATTCAGGGGAGGACTGACCATTTGGAAACTCGGACACTGCCCGAGGGCCCGGGGTCAGTATGGGGGCCCCATGAGATGCCCCTGGTACCTTTTTCATAGGCTTTTTTGAGTTTGGACAAGGACACAGGGGCCCCATGATCTATTATTGTCCTGGGGGGCCCTATGAGTTGTCAGTCCGCCCCTGGCTGCATTGATATGCAACAGTGATGGGCACTGATAGGTGGCACTGACTGGCGGCACTGACTGGCAGCACTGATGGGTGGCACGGCTGGGCGGCACTGATGGGTGGCACTGATGGGCACAGGTGGGTGGCACTTTCTAGGCACAGGTGGGTGGCACTGATGGGCACAGGTGGGCGGCACCGATGGGTAGCACTGCTCATCACTGCCCTGATGATCAGTGCCGATCTGTCCTCTGACAATTGCCGGTTATCAGCAATACTTTCCGAATGCTGTCAAAGTGCAGCTGATAACCGGAAACTGCATTTTCCGGTGATCTGCTGTGTCATTGGACATGGCTGATCACGTGGTAAAAGGTCGCTGTGATTGGCATTTTACCACATCACGTGATCAGCTGTGTCTGGACACAGCGATCATGGGAAAATCGCCGGGGGCGTGCAGGATGGGCGCGTTCTGGAAGGATGTCATATAGGACGCCCTCCCAAACATGGCCCGGCCGCAGTGAAGCCATTATTCAGCTCTCTGCGTCAGCAAGTGGTTCAAGGAGTTTTCAGGCAAAGGAAAAAAACCCCACTGCCAGTGTGTCCAGAAGCAGCAGCGTTTTGTCTGAGAAAATCCTTGAGGCACCTAAATGTGTATGAACAATAGGCACATTTATCGTTCGAGGCATTAATTCACTGCAATGCCTAGAATAAATTATTACTATGTAATCATTTATAATAATTTAATTTCTAATAATTTAGATTGTAAGCTCGAAATGAGCAGAGCCCTCGAACCCCTCGTGTATTGTATTGTTACTGTCTTGTCTCATGTTCTGTCCCCCCCCGCTATAATGTACAGCGCTGAGCATACCCTTTGGCGCTATATAAATACTGTATAATAATAATATAATAATAATATGGCCAAAGAAATGAACATCCAAGCGCTTGATGCGCCTAAACGTGTTTACAAGTGTCAATTGTTTTTTCTGCCAGGAGAAAAAAAGGCATCTAGGAGAGATGGCCAGAGCATCCAGTATGCATGAGGCCTAAAGAGGGTGAACTTGGTTTTTCCTTTTCGATACAATATGTACTTTGTGTTTCTTCCAGATCTGTGCAGTAACTCAGTGTGAGAGTATGTTTTACTTCCTGTAATAAAGACCGCTCATAGCTGCGCTCTTTCCTTGTGCAGGGCGACTGGTCTTGCTCCGCCCCCTCCTGTAGTTTTTATGTAGTAGGTGGAGCCTGCTGGGCCACTTTGACAGCTCTGCTTTTTTGCACAGATTTTATACAGCACAGTGATGATGTTACTGCTATTTTTGCAGGGTAATATCTGGGTTTGTGAAGGCATTTTTGGCGGACGCAAAGTGGATTTATATCCTTTGTGGCTTTTGAGGACTAGATTTAACTGAAAGGTTTTGTGCCTGGAGTTCGGCTTGAAGAATTGTTTGCTTTTATCATGCTGTTTTGGTGACCCCGACATGAATCTAGTTTAACAATTATGAATGGACACGGCCGTGCAATCTCTGCTTCACCACACCCCTTATATCCCAGCCAGGTACATCGTTAACAAGGCAGCATATGGAAGGAAGTACTCAGTATCATTAAGTATTTATGAGTAATGAGTGTTTTCTTGCAAAACAATGATGGAAAGCCAGATGAGTCAACTCTTGTAAAATGAATTGATGAACTCCGTAATGAAAAGCATTAGAAGAGACATCGTTTTTAAAGGGGACGTTACATTTCAGGCAAGGTCTGCTTAATCACTGAAATCCCCTTTCCTTAAAAGAGTAACCACTTTTGTTGGGAAAAAACAAAAAAACAAAAACAAAAAAGCATACCCCTCTGGGTGATCTGTGTACATTGCAGGGATTTTAACAAACTTTGTTGCAGATTCCTACCTTTTGTTATTCTGAAGAAATCGCTGTTTGTTTCTCTATGTCCATATGGAAAGTGAATCTGCATGGGAGTGATTTTATAATTATCAATCAGCTGCCGCACTTGTAGGGCTGAGGTATGAGGAAAGTGGCAGGGTCTGCATCTAAGGATGCACTGAAATGTTTCGGCCAAAAATACCTGGCCGATATTATTATTATACAGGATTTATATAGCGCCGACAGTTTGCTCAGCACTTTACATTATGGTAGGAGACAGTACAGTAACAATACAGTTCAATACAAGAGGGATTTGAGGGCCCTGATCCTTGGAGCTTACAATCTAGGAGGGAGGGGATAGTGGTACAAAAGGTAATGACTGTGGGGGATGGAGTGGAGTGGTTGGAAGAGTAGAGGATTCCAGTATTAGCTGAGGGCAGGATAGGCTTCCCTGAAGAGATAGGTTTTCAGAGTGAGCCTAAAAGGGAGCAACAAAGTAGGCGAAAGTCTGATAGATTGGGGTAGGGAGTTCCAGAGGATGGGGGAAGCCCTGGAGACAAGCATGAGAGGAAAAGACAAGGGAGCTAGAGAGTAGGAGGTCTTGTGAGAAACAGAGAGTACGGTTTGGGTTATATTTGGAGACAGGTTTGGTGATGTAATTTGGGGTGGAGTTATAAATGGCTTTATATGTTATTGTTAGTGTTTTGAATTTTATCCGTTGGGCAATGGGAAGCCAGTGGAGGGATTGGCAGAGAGGGGGTGGAGGACTCTGAATGGAGGCCAGTGGAGGGATTGGCAGAGAGGGCTGGAGGACGCTGAATGGAGGCCAGTGGAGGGATTGGCAGAGAGGGATGGAGGACAATGAGTGGAGACCAGTGGAGGGATTGGCAGAGAGGGATGGAGGACACAGAGTGGAGGCCAGTGGAGGGATTGGCAGAGAGGGATGGAGGACGCTGAGTGGAGGCCAGTGGAGGGATTGGCAGAGAGGGATGGAGGACGCTGAGTGGAGGCCAGTGGAGGGATTGTCAGAGAGGGATGGCGGACACTGAGTGGAGTCCAGTGGAGGGATTGTCAGAGAGGGATGGCGGACACTGAGTGGAGTCCAGTGGAGGGATTGTCAGAGAGGGATGGCGGACACTGAGTGGAGTCCAGTGGAGGGATTGGCAGAGAGGGATGGAGGACGCTGAATGGAGGCCAGTGGAGGGATTGGCAGAGAGGGGTGGAGGACGCTGAATGGAGTCCAGTGGAGGGATTGGCAGAGAGGGGTGGAGGACGCTGAATGGAGGCCAGTGGAGGGATTGGCAGAGAGGGATGGAGGACACTGAATGGAGGCCAGTGGAGGGATTGGCAGAGAGGGGTGGAGGACGCTGAATGGAGGCCAGTGGAGGGATTTGGCAGAGAGGGGTGGCATACACTGAGTGGAGGCCAGTGGAGGGATTGGCAGAGAGGGGTGGAGGACGCTGAATGGAGGCCAGTGGAGGGATTGGCAGAGAGGGGTGGAGGACACTGAGTGGAGGCCAGTGGAGGGATTGGCAGAGAGGGGTGGCAGATACAGAACGGTTAGTAAGGTGGATGAGTCTGGCAGCAGCGTTCATGATAGACTGAAGAGGGGATAGCCTGCGGTGAGATGCAATATGAAAATAAGCACCGATATAAAAGGTGCTGAAAATAGCCCCGCCCCTTGCCGATCGGTGGTTCTCAGCCTTGCCTGATAACCCATCCAACAATCTCAGTGCTGGGCATAGAGATCAGTGAAGGAAATATGACCTCCACTCATCTCTATGCCCTTGGAGGACCGGAGCGACGTTAGATTGTAAGCTCCCAGGATCAGGGCCCTCCTAACCCTCTTGTATTGAACTGTATTGTTACTGTATTGTCTCCCGTTATATTGTAAAGCGCTGAGCAAACTGTTGGCGCGATATAAATCCTGTATATTAATAATAATTACGTCACTTCTGGTTCTGCCGCCTTTTAAACAAGGCCTTTTTTTTTTTTTTTTTTTTACAGCACTAGATCAATGCTTTTTTTAATCCAATGCTTTACATTGTAGAGGAGAGATGTGGGGTCTTATTGACAACATCTCTCCATAAAGAGGACCTGTCACTGCTTTTTTCTATCGTAAGGGATGTTTGAATTCCTTGTGATAGGCATAAAAGGGATTAAAAAAAATTGTTAAAAAAGGGACAGTGTAAAAAAAAAAAAAAAAAAAAACAAGCAATAAAATAAATTTTAAAAAATAAAAAATGGTTTAAAGTGCCCCCGTGCTCACACGTAGTGGTGAATGCATATGTAGGCCACGCCCACATATGTAAACGGTGTTCAAAACCACACACGTGAGGTATCGCCGCAAATGTCAGTGTGAGAGCAATAATCCTCGCACTAGACCTCCTCTGTAACTTTAAACTGGTATCCTGTAGAAATTTTTTAAAGCGTCATCCATAGAGATTTTTAAGTACCGTAGTTTGGCGCCATTCCAAAACATGATATGTTGGGTATCTATTTACTCGGCATAACATCATCTTTCATATTTTACAAAAAAAATTGGGGTATGTATTGTGTTTTTTTTTTAAAAATCAAAACTTATTTTTTTTTCCCAAAAATTGCGTTTAAAAAATATTAATTTTTAAAAACTGTCCATTTCGGTTTTTGGCCAAGCGCATCCTGAATTTTTGGGTTCGATTTCAGCACCAGAATTTTCATTTCAATGCACCACTATCTACATCCCTTTACACATGATTTCCCTTTGGAAGTATCTCACCAAAAAGGATAGTTTTGTTGCAGGGGATGCCCAAAATCTGAATAGTATCTTAGTGTAGACTTCTGGGAAAATCAGTAAGCCAATCACACAAGCAGGAAATGACATTTCTGGGGGGTGTTCTGTATACCATCTGTTTACAAAACGCCTCCAGGTTGCCATATTGCAGAAAATGACAGCACTGCTGGTTGAAAAGAAAAGGTCATTTTTTTATAACATTCAATTACAAATATAAAACTTTTGTAGCAATTGCATACACTATATATTTTATCATTTTTTTTTTTCCATGAAAGTGCAGTTAACTTTTAAATGCTGCAAAGGCCTTGTACACGAGGGGGTGTATCAATGCACACCCTGTGCAAGGGCCGTATTTACCCGTAGAGGGATGCACAGTTGTTCCATGCATCCCCGTACAGGCAGTCCCATTGACAACGTGCACGGGCACGAAACACGTTAGGGAGGTGCCCTATACAGTGACGTCATTCCGCATGGGCCCATGTGGATGGCCAGCGGCCATCTTGGATTTCCTGTCATTCACAGATGTGAATTATAATACCTCCTGCTATGCTAATTTTATTATTAATAAAGTACACTATTGGAGACTTCTCTCTCTGGCTCGTTTGTTACGGGCCCCCCTTCTAAGATGAATACATGTGACCGGGCATATATCTATGTGAATGGCTCCCCCTGCTGGTTGATGATTGCATCCTCTGGAGCTTGTATATCTTCCTATGGTGTGTTACCTGCCTTGCTGACGCTTGCCTGATGACCCCCCTGTGTGACATGTTTCCAGAGTCAGATGACCAGGAGTTGGTCCTGATTTACTCAAATGTGCATTAGTTTGCGCTTTCTGGTTAGTGCAATCTACACCTATTTTTCACAGCTATTGGAGTCACGGAATTTCACTGGAAATTATTGACTTTTTGATATGATTTGTGTCACTTATGCACTTTCACGTCAAGCTGTACATTGGTCCACATCACTGCCCATAGCGCCTGGGAGCGCAGTTTGAAGTTTTTTTATACGTTTTGATGGCATTATTTATCAGCCTATTAATTGTTCTTTATAGATTATATATTAACACTAGCGCTGCATATATATAATTTTTACAATTGGGATGCAGCGGCTGCATGTCCATGCAGCTTCTGCGTTTGCATGGACATGGCTGCTGCTCCCAACACAGCATCTGTGTGGTTGGCGGTGCACAATCCTGAACGCAGACAGACACACACCTGCACCTATATGGATGTCCTATTGGGAACAGCGCTCATACCTCAGTATCTGGGGAGGATGGAGTCGGCTGTGTGTTGCTATATATACCCATTATATACCCACCCCACACGCCAAAGTCCTGGGTGTCACCCTGGACTCCCACCTCTCCTTCCTACCCCACATCCAACTGCTATCTAGATTTTGCAGGCTCCACCTCCACAACATCTCCAAGATACGCACGTTCCTCACCCCAGACACCTCCAAACAACTCGTACACTCCCTCATCATCTCACGCCTGGACTACTGCAACTCCCTCCTCACTGGCCTACCCAAACGAACGCTATCCCCACTCCAGTCGACCCTAAACTCAGCGGCTAGACTCATCCACCTCACCAACCGCTCCACATCTGCCTCCCCCCCCTGCCAATCCCTTCATTGGCTCCCAATTGCCCAACGCATCAAGTTCAAGCTGCTAACCCTGACCTACAAAGCCACTCACAACGCCGCCCCCGAACTACATAACTGACCTGACACCCAAATACCACCCTACCCCGTGCCCTCCGCTCCTCACAGGACCTCCTACTCTCTAGCTCCCTGGTCTCCTCCTCCCACGCCCTATTGCAGGACTTCCCCCATCCTTTGGAACTCCCTACCCCAATCCATCAGACTGTCACCTACCCTCCTCACCTTCAGGCGCACCCTGAAAACCCTCCTCTTCAGGAAGCCTACCCCACCCTCACCTAACACCCGACCTCACCTAACAACTAACCTCCTCCACTCCTCCCACCACTCCATCCCCCACAGCCATCTCCTCCTGTACCACCTTCCCCTCCCTCCTAGATTGTAAGCTCGAAAGAGCAGGGCCCTCGAACCCCTCGTGTATTGTTGTGTTACTGTCTTGTCTCATGTCCTGTCCCCCTTGCTACTGTACAGCGCTGGGCATACCCTTTGGCGCTCTATACTGTATAATAATAGTGATTTTTTGGTGTGTTTTTTTAGCTGGAAGTTAAAGGGTTAATTGTGTGTCAGTCAGTAGCTGGGCTTCTCTCTATTGAAATGTTAATTAACTTGTCTAAGCAGTTTGAATGGGCTAATTAAACAGGAAATGTTGGCAGGTAATATAGGGAGGCAGCAAGTGATAAAAAAACACGGCCATGTGTTTGAAAGTACACTTACTGGGGGGAATGTAACATAACTGGAGCAGCCACCAGGCGGCAGCTGTCAGGATACCCAAACTGCAGCTGCATCTGATTAGAATTGGCTGCTTCATGTAAATGAAAGAATCGCAGTTCTCCTGAACAGCCCTTGTAAACAGAGGCCAACAGATGTGTCTCCACCAAAGCCACGCCCCCAACGCATTTCACCCCGCCCTATCATTAACCACTTCCGGTCTGGCCCATGTACATAAACAGCCGGACGGGAGAAGTGCAGGGGCGGGTGGCCGCTTATAAACATCCTCCCCACTCCCTGCTTGTGCGCGCTTCCAGGGAGCGCGCAGCACCACGATCGTTGTACGGGACCTCTGTGTGAGGTCCCGATCATGTGATCACTGATTGGCCAATCAGTGATCACATGAACAATAGTAAACAAGATGTCACTTCTGACACCATTGGTTACGACGTGTGAAATCTGTGAATGATCACAGAGGTCACATGGTACAGGGCTATTCACAACAGCCTTGTACCATGTGACAAGCTGTGACCAATCACAGCTTTCACAGTATTTTTCAATGGCTGCAAGAATGCAGCCAGAGAAAAGGAGAAATGATTGCTTTTACAGCCTTTATGGGTGTAAAAGCAATCAGTGTAAAAAAAAAATCTTCATCACCCCCACAAGTAGTACAGTGTCACTATGGTGACACTATACTGCTAGGGTGACAGTATGTAAAAAAAAAAATAAATAATAATATAATAAAAATAAAATTGTAAAAAAAATTTTATTTTTTAAATTATAATTTTTGGGTATAAACTAGTTTGCGTTATTTTTTTTTTTACTAAAAAGATAACGGAATAAATTTTGGCCAAGATTTATGAAGAAAGATTATTTGCAAAAATAAAGTAAAACACTTTTTTTCAAAATTTTTGGACTTTTTCATTTATATAGCAAAAAAATAAAAATCTCAGTGGTGAATAAACACCAGCAAAATAAAGTTTTATCTGTCTCAAAAAAATTCATATGGGTACAGTGTTGCATGACCGCGCAATTGTCATTCAAAGTGTGATAAAGCTGAAAATTGGCCTGGGCAGGAAGGGGGGGTGTCAGGACTTAAAGTGGTTAATCCCCCAGTGAGCAGGACGAAACGCGTCGGTGGGTGTAGTTTTGGCTGAGACATGTGGGCTGATTCCACCTTTCAGCCTCTGTTTACATCGGCTGATCGGGAGAGAGAACGGCGATCCTTCCATTTACATGAAGCGGTTACACAGACAAGCCGGCATTCCATCTTTCAATGGATTCAGGGAAGCGGTCACTCTTCAGCTTGAGCGGCACCACATCCTTTGGTTATCTGGTCGTCGATGCAGCTGCTCTTTGGCTGACAAATTTCCCCTGACTTTTC